GTGATAGTAAAAAAGTATACTAAAGTACTGTTCTTACTTAGTAAAAGTATATATAAATACGTAAAATATTAGTTGTAAATTTTGTTTTAAATATTATTGTATTTAGTAGCTTATATCCTTATCATTTATATTATTTTCCCTTAAATAATATTTCTGTATAAAATTAATATTATTTAATTTATATGCATAGTTTTATGTTTGTAATATAAATGATTAACTTTTATATAAATTAAGATAACTTTTTAATATTGAATTGATTTATTGTACCTCTATATATTTTTAGGATACAAATAAAGTAATTTATTAAATGCAATAAGTGAACTTAATTATTAAAATATGAATAAAGTATGATTTCAATAAAATGTTTATATATTCTTTTAGGAACAATATCCAATATCAAAATGTTTCCCAATCACATGAAAACGGTCGCACGACTTGCTGTGCAACAGCAGCAGCAACAACAACGCGGTATGGCCACTCTTAAAGCTATTTCTATAAGATTGAAGTCTGTAAAAAATATTCAGAAGATTACGCAATCAATGAAGATGGTGTCTGCTGCTAAATATAATAAAGCAGAACGTGATTTAAAACAAGCTCGTCCCCTTGGTGTTGGTGCAAAAATTTTTTATGAACAAGCAGAAATTCAAGCACCAGCAGATGAGCCCAAGAAACTTGTTATAGCAGTAACAAGCGATCGTGGTTTGTGTGGCGCTGTACACACTGGAGTTTCTCGTAACATTAGGGATGCTCTGTTGGCAGATGCCAATGAACGTGAGAATACAAAAATTGTATGCATTGGTGAAAAATCAAGAGCAATTTTGTCCCGTTTGTTCGCTAAAAATATATTGTTCGTTGCATCTGAGGTTGGTCGCAAACCGCCTACGTTTAACGATGCCGCTAGAGTGGCCATTGAAGTAATGAATAGCGGGTGTGTACAATATTAATAATCTTAACGGTGTAATTATTTGCTACCACTTTTCTAATGTATGTAATGTATAAATGTTCATTTATTATTTACAGTTACACTTTCGGTTCTGGGCGCATTATTTATAATCGATTTAAGTCGGTGGTGTCGTATGCTGTTGATCAACTACCACTCTTTGATAAGAATGCAGTGGTTACAGCACCTAAGTTATCAGTATACGATTCCCTCGATGAAGAAGTAATTCAAAGCTATCTGGAATTCTCCCTGGCATCTTTATTATTCTATTCCATGAAGGAAGGTGCCTGTAGCGAACAGTCTAGCCGTATGACCGCTATGGACAATGCCAGCAAGAATGCAGGAGAGATGATAGACAAGTTAACTTTAACATTCAACCGCACTCGACAAGCTGTAATTACTAGGGAACTGATTGAAATTATTTCTGGTGCTGCTGCATTGGACTAAATATTGTATACAATTTTTAATAAAATTAATATACAATAGTTGTGATACGTAGATCAAGTGAATGTTATCAGGCTGGGATTGTACAGGAAACGAAACTCAAATTTGTAACAACAAAAAGAATTAAACGCTTAAAAGTGCAGTAATATTTATGAATTCGAATAAGGAACAAACCACTGGGATGTTATACAAATGTTACACTTGTTCAAGTTCTGTTTGAAACTGCCAAATAAAGTAAATAATTCTATAAGCTTGAGGTGTTGTATATTTTTTTGATTTGAGATCATTTATAAATATTGATTATTTTAATTTTGTTTCAAATATAACAAAAATTATATACATATATATATTTGGTTTATTTTGTAAAATGTTTATTTCTAATTTTATTTGTAATTATATGTAATAAAAAGTAATTGGTCTGGTAAGATTTGAATCGTCCTATGTACCTAGTGTTCTATACAAACAAGTAAAAGTATGGTGAGGGGAGTGTCACTAGATATATACCTAAGTTTATAGGGATATTACTAGTTTGAAGGGAAGCATTCGACACCACTGACGCAATAGATTGAGAATCATCAAACTATACAATTTACTTGTACCACGTGTGCTACTATACGCGGTTTAAATGTAACCTTAAAATCACAATAAACATTAATCATGGAAGAAAGTCGAAAAATTCGTGTTATGCTTGAAGAATATGGCATACCTAATGTAAGGATTAAGAAATATGTCTTACATATACAAATTTATTTCAAAAATTATTAATACTGTTATTTTTTAGGCTTCCGATTATACAAACTATACACCACAACAGGATTGGAATTTACAAAATTATAAAAAAGTAATGTTTAATATAAATTGCATATAACTTAAAAAATACTGATCTTTTATATGTTTAATAATATTTATTATTTTATGTAGAGGTCCATTTAATTAAAAATTTATTGTATATAATTTGATGATATTTTTAGGAATTCAAGCTACAAGTTGTTAGAGAATCTGAAGATGAAAGGGAATTAGAATTCGATTTAATTGGTTACCCTGTTGGTTTTGCTAATGCATTTCGCAGAGTTCTTTTAAGTGAGGTACCAACAATGGCTATAGAAAAAGTTTATATTGTAAATAACACAAGCTTAATTCAAGATGAAGTTCTTGCTCATAGGTAAATAATGCATATTTTCTTGTACAATGTTTTACAATAGTTTTTAAAAGAAAAGTAATGATCATAATATTAATTATTATCATTATTTTATGTTAATATATTTAATTGTACATTAATAGTTTGTCATTTACTAATTTTAAAAAGTCTAAGTTTCAATAACAGTTACCATTTAATTTTATTAAATATTTTAATTAAAAAATTATTACTTTACAAATGGATTTTAAAGATTAGGTCTCATACCACTTCGAGCAGATCCTAGGTTATTTGAATATCCCTCTTCGACTACTAAGGATGAAGATGAAGTAAGTGATCAAGATACATTGAGGTATGAACTGAAAGTTTCATGCACCTGGAACCCACAAGCCCCGAAAGATTCTAGAAGAACAACTGATATATACAAGAATAGCAATGGTATTATTTTATAAGAATTGATAGAAATATCTTTGTTAAGGAATAAGTAAATTAATTGTGAAAAGTAAAATAAATAAGATGTTTTTTTTTAGTGTACAGCAAAGAAATTAAGTGGGTTCCAATTGGACGTCAAGCAGAACTTCATCCTCAAGGGGCAGAACAATTAGGTGTTTTAGAAAATGATATTCTAATATGCAAAATGCGACCTGGTCAAGAAATCCATGCTTTCATGCATGCAATCAAAGGAATTGGAAAAGATCATGCTAAATTCTCTCCTGTAGGTAAGTTAAGATAACATTATTTAAAATAAATATACTTCTAAATTATGTATGTAAAAAATATTCTTGGATGTATTTAAATTCGCAAATATCTATCTTTATCTTTTCTTACATACAGCTACAGCATCATATAGGTTACTACCAGACATACAACTAATAAAACCAGTTAAAGGTGAAATGGCAGATCGTTTAAAAAATTGCTTCAGTATTGGTGTTATAGAAGTAATTGAACATAAGCCAGGTGATCCAGATTCACGTGAAGCTAGAGTAAAAAACCCTCGTTATGATAGCTGTTCTAGAAATGTATTTCAACATGAAGATCTTAAGTCATGTGTACGCTTAAGTAGAGTACGGAATCATGTAATTTGTAAGTTATATTTTATTTAATACTTTTAACTTGTGTTCAATACATTTTACATGCTTCATATATTATTATGCTTATTATTGTTATTATAGTTACCGTTGAATCAGTGGGAACATTACCAGCAGCTGTACTGTTTGTGGAAGGTGTTAAAATTCTTAAGGGAAAATGTAAGACATTTTTGGAAGAACTTGAGAATATTGGTCAATAAACATATGCTTAATTCAGTCAAACAATATTTTCCTTTTTTATTAAATTTGTTTCCAGGAATTTAAAATAAAGCTGTTTTATATATTAAACAATTATACATTTCTCTTTTTTAACACAGGTATAATGCTCAAAATACTTAAATATATATATGTATTTGAATATAATAGATGGTACTGTTTTACAATCTAAAAATAGAATACTAATATTATTATAGATACTATATATATATATAAGTATTACTGTTAAATTGAATTTATTTACAATCAATATTTTATTAAGTTATAATTTGTCTTGTGTCTTTTAGCTTTTCTACTTTGAGTCGATAAGTAGTTGATACCTTATAAAGATATCTCTGATAAAGTTGATCAGTGTTTATCACCAACTTCAATAAACATAGGAATATATTTCTTTATGGATTGCGAAACTCGTTAAAAAAATATTTATATTAAATATTCCCATAAGACTACACCACCTATTCATTTGTTAAAATATCATTGATTCAAATTGTTTTTTTATTATTAAACTAAAATGCAAGGGGATTTAATTTTCTAAAAACTTGTGCAACTATTAATCTTGGAAACGAGAGGGAGCTATTTATATACAACAGCATTATATTTTTTATACGTGGCAACGATTGTCGTAATTCAAAATAAATCATATTTTAAAAATAATATCACACAGCATACATTTTTAAATAGACTTCTCTTCTAATTTTAATCCACTAAATCTAGGTAAATATTTGTACTGCATTTTCATGTGCAATGAAATTCCCTGTATATAGTATTTGTCAATAATAAACTCATTGTTACCACCGGCAATCTTTTACTTTTATTCCTTTTACGTAAATCAAAAGCGTCAAAAATAGACTTCAATTAAATAATTAATGTTTTGAAATAAATTTCTTTTACACGGTATAAGCATATTTCAAGTCAGACTTCATTCGTTGTATATGTCGGAAAATAAAAACGATAGCGTGTATTTTATTTATTTTATGAACGCAACTTAGTGTACAATAACGTTTGTTTCTCTATTCTAAGACAAGAACCAATAGTGCCTGACTTGCTTTATCGGTTATCTTTTCGCCAAACGAAAAGATTCGGAGTATTCAGGGTACATTCGTCTCTCTGAACAATGTTAACGGACTTACTTATTCGTTCGTTGTTACATTACATCATTGAGAGTTCTCTTAGTCACTCTAAATTGTTATATCATAAGTAACATTTATTCTGTAGTACTATCGTCGAAATTGTTAAAATCATCAATAATGGGATTAGGAAGTTTTCGATCGAAAATACCTCTGATTATTATATCGGTCTTCCTTCTCTGGCAATCGTCAAAAGTTTGGCTAAGTTTTACTCAGGAGAAAACTGACATAGAAGGTAAAAAATCAAACATATGTACACACCATGAATCTACTTGAAGATTCAACTTTCTCTTTCTATTTCTTAAATGATTAACACATTTTCAAATATTTTGGATTAAATTCTATTAAATAAAAATAATTTCTAGACATTAATATCTTTTTTTGGCATGTTATTAAACTAAAAATTAATTTGTTGCGGTGACTACTATTCCTAACCTATTGTTAGTTTATTAAATATATTAACAGCAATATACTTGATATTTTATATTTTCCATGTAATTATATTATATAATTAATTATTTTTAATGTTAACATATATAATAGTATAAGTAAATTGTTTTTTTTTGTTAATGCACCGAATATAAATTTTAATTTAAATTAATCAACTTTCTTGATCTTCATGAATATCTGCTAAGTTATGTATAGCACAGCCTCAGGACAGCGAAGTGACAACGTTAAGCCAAAACGATGAGAGAACACAACAGAAGGTTCATATTGCAGTTTATTATGAGGCACTTTGTCCAGATTCACGCAGTTTCTTCACCAAACAATTGCTGCCTACGTATCACAAGATTCCGGACAGTATAGAAGTAGAATTAATACCTTACGGGAAAGCTACAGTAAGAGATTTTATAAAATAATAATAACTCAAAAAACTAATATAGGATTTAATTGATCATTAAGTTTTCAACTGAATTGAAATTGAAATCTTCTTGCAGACAATGAAAATAGAGTCTGGTTACGAATTCATATGTCAACATGGACCTACAGAATGTGATGCAAATATTATTCATGCATGTTCCATTGACATTCTAAAAAATTCATCTGTTCAATTAGAATATGTATCTTGTATGATTAAGAATAATATAGATCCAGTGAATATTATGAAAATTTGCGCACAAAAGATGAACATAGATTATAATAAAATTTTTAAATGTTTCACTGAAGAAAAAGGCAAAGAACTTTTAGCCAAATATGGGGAGCAAACAAATTCTTTAATACCGACAGTTTCTTTTATACCAACCATATTACTTGATGGGGTAAGTTTAAAGTTTTTCTTATTTAAAACTCTTTTTTTAAAAAGCTTTTTATAAAATATAGTAAAATAAATTTAATAAATAAGCAGGTACACCTGACCTTTGACTTACATAGTAGTTTTTATGCATGATCTGAATTTAGTAATACTGAATAAAACAAATAAAATGTACTTTTGTTTTTTGAAATATTATTTTTTTTTGTTTGGCTATGTAAAAATAAATATGTATTTCTAAAACTTATACTAGCTTTTCTTACCAATATTTTGTTTTCTCTTGTATTGACAGAAATTGAGGGTCAGGTGTATGTTGGTATACAGTAAACAATTCTAAATAAATATTCATTTTTATAAGTATTTTATGTAATATTATATTTTTAGAGTTCAGACTACCAGGCAAGGATATTAAAAAATTTATTGCAAGAAGTGTGCCTACATCTTAAATTCTTGCCAGAGCATTGTAAATTGTAAAAATATGTTGAACATTTATAAAACATATCTTCCTACAGATTTGCATGAAGTACAATATTTTTTACATTAATTTTATATTAAATTTTCATATATTCAATGCTTCATGAGGATTTCTCAAAAGAATTATGATAATTTTTATACAAAATGTTAAAGGTGCACATGTGGACTAATATATTTTTTGTTTAAAGAAAAACAAAAAACTTATTCCTATATCAAAATACTATATAAAAAATTGTTTTCCAAAATGTTTGTATTCCCATTATCCAATATGATCCTTCTACTTTAATTTAAGTATATTCGATGAGAAAATTCTTAAATTACAATTGAAAGACCCAAAACTTTAAAATAAATTTAAAATAAATCTGCAGCATGTATCACTAAGGTTTGTTACTATTGTACCTTCGAGTTGAAAAAAAAAATTGTTACTATTTAATAAATATATACAAAACTTTATGGTAGAAAATAATGTTTGATGTATATTTGTGTATAAAATTAAACTTATTGATACATAAACAGAAATTAATATTTCCAATTTAAATCTTGTGATATGTCATTACAATAGAATTAGATAAATATTTTCTGAAATTGTTACTTTACAGATAGCAAATGTAATTTATAATAATATAATATTAAACGTAAATATTTCAAAAAATGTTTTGCGAAAAATCATGGTTTCTAAAACTTGCAATTCTATGTTAGATCAATCAAGAATCAATCGGTTGTTTAATATATGGGAACAATTTATTAACTTAATATCAACACTTTATACAAACTGTATCGCTTCGTCACGCACGATAAGTGAAATATGCCTTTGATATGGCGGAGAATATCTCACATACAATAGAAATAATGAACGTACATATTTCAGATACAAGAGAAAGAAATGTATAGCGAGAATATTTCTTTTAACCGAATGATTTATTAACATTTATTTGAATTAAGAGCAAACGTGGAAAATAAATAATTTCTTATTCGCGCCACGGCGAGCATCATAAATATCGCATTTAATATATTTTATGTATATTTGCGAGGGAAGGATTGAGAACAAGTGACTTGAATAGAATTTCCAACTATTTATTTTTAAGGAACGAACGTTTCAAGAAACGATTTTTAGGGGGGGAGGGGGGGCAAGAATGCGATCGTTTTTACGATTGATCTCAAGCCTAAGATTATTCTTGAGACACAATACTGGCTTTTCATATATTTCTTTCTTTTTAAACTTTAATATCAGCTCTCAGTGCCCGAGTAAGGGACTTTCGTAAAATTCTTTTTCTTTTAAATATGGAAAAACTAGTGGTAGAGTACGTATAATTGGCGACACGAATATAAAATTAATATTAAATACTGGAATATATTTCTCATAACTTAGACTTAAACACTAACTGTCATAGATCGTTGAAACGAGCAATAACTGTTAAGCATTTAAATATAGGGTTGTTGTTGTTTGAATAAATTCTATCATCATTTACAAAAGGGCTTCTGCGCGATTGCTCTTT